AGGTACACCCATGCTACACCCATGCATATGCGAGAATCTAGGTACTCCAAGAATGGAGACGTGACCAGCCATGCCAAAAGGATTTATTCAAAGCCATAGTTGATCTCTTGGTTTTATTATTTAGGTTGTATGATTCAATGTTTATAACCCGACCCATCGTTACTTCGGCAACGTTGAAAGGGTCCTTCAAAAAAACAGTTATGTTTTAGGCTAGGTAGTCGATAGTTTTAGGGATTTTCGACGGGACTTGCACGGACTTGCATTTTGTTAAGCCTGTTGAACGCATCGTCGCCTGAATATTTTTATAAATTTGAAATAAAATATTTTTATTGGCGAAAGTCTAGCGTTTTCTTACAGGTAGGTATTTAAAATTTTATGGAAAGTTACAAAATAAAATAAATTTAAAAACTGACGCCACTGATCAATCGGCAATGTTCGGCAGTCTGGCTGTTAACTTTTAGCTGCCAAGCTACCATATTTGAGAGGGTTGAAGGAGTTCCCCAGGGATCATGACTGATGTTTTTTTTTTTTATCTCAATATAGGTAAACTCTGTCTAACCAAAGTTGAACGTTGAAGGTCACTTACTCGTCCTTGTAACCATAGGATTCACACTTTCGGACCTATTTTGGTTTGATAAACACAGTGCGCGTGCAATAAAGACAGCAGCAAAAAGCAACGTCTGTGATATATTGGAGTAAGTGACATTCAACGTTCAACTTTGGTTACACAGAGTTTATCTTCAATCCTCTACAAAAAGGCAGTCTGTTTGCCGAGTTTAGTGAACGCATATAAGAACAATAATTTAAATGATTATTCGTAGTGACTTCCTTATTGCATAAGCATAAGGTATCAAGGGTGTTTACTGGAGGAGTAATTTAATACATATCAACTGTCAATTATTGTCAGACATAGTATAGTCCAAAATTTTTTTAAATATTTTTGCGCGAAAGCGATTTTTTTGTGTGAAATCAAAATCAAATTATACAAAAATTGCTGCTTTGCAGGGCCGGCCCTCCAAGCGCCAGACCTCGAGGAGCGCCTCTGACTTGTTCCTTGGTAAAAAAAAAAGAAAAATATGTTTCTGAAATCTGTTTAATCCGAAAGCCCCATTGAATGATATTTTTGCATTACAGCCTATGGCCTAATTTTTGATTTTTTCCCTGGAAATCTGGGAAACTTTGAGAAATGTAGAACTTTTTCATATATCCTTTAGCTTTTTAGCTTAAACATACCAAAATTTGATTCGAAAAAAGCCAAAGATAGCTGAGTTACGATTTTTTTAATTCAAAAGCCCCACTGAGTGATATTTGTGCATTAAAGCCTATGGCCTGATTTCTAATTTTTTTTCCTGGAAATCTGGGAAACTTTGGGAAATGTAGATTTTTTTTATATATCCAGCAGCCTTTTAGCTTTGACATACCAAAATTTTATTGGACAAAAACCAAAGATAGTTGAGTTACGATTTTTTAATCCGAAAGCCCCATTGAGTGATATTTTTGCATTACAGCCTATGGCCTGATTTATGATATTTTTCCAGGAAATCTGGGAAACCTGGAGGAACCAAATATTTTTTTACTTATTGAGGAAGCTTTTAGCTTCAACACATTAAAATTTCATTGAAAAATAGTCCAGGATAACAGAGCTATGATTTTTACAATTAGAGAGACACACTTAGGGATATCTTTGCCATGGCCTGATGACCTCATTCCTGATTTTGTTTCTAAAAATTCTAGAAACTTGGATTTACCAAATATTTTTTTATTTATTAAGGAAGCTTTTAGCTTCAACATACTAAAATTTTATAGAGAAATAGTCCAGAATAACAGAGCTATGATTTTTACAATCAGACAGACGCACTCAGTGATATTTTTGCCCTAGCCTGATGGCATCATTCCTGATTTTTTTTTCTAAAAATTCTAGAAACCTGGATTTACCAATTTTTTTTATTTATTAAGAAGGTTTTAGCTTCAACATATCCAAATTTTATGGAGAAATAGTCCAGGATAACGGAGCTATGATTTATACAATCAGATAGATACACTGCTCTGAATCCTGTCTTCGCTTTTCGATATTCTGCTATTCTGCTTGCGCGCAAAAGGGTGGTAAGTATGTGATAAGACAACAGCCGAAAACCAGCCAGTAGGTAGGAAGAGCCCAACGTCGGCTGTCGGACTCAGTTTGTGCATATTATGACGTCACAGTGCTAGGAGTAGGCATTTTATACCACCGTATCTTCGCAACGGTTGGTCGTAACCTAGTGCGGTTTGAAAATTTGTTCTTAGATTTTTTTTTTCTTAAACTTATATTTTTGGGTCACACCCTCTTCAAGATTATCGATAGCAATAATTTAATTTGTTTTCAATTCGACTAATACTTGAAATAAAGAATACTGAAATTATTTTTTGAAGTATTTCTACGTGAATGTTATTTCAAGTACGCAAGTTTTAAATAAACTTTGTTTCACCAGGGTTTATATTTTTGACATAATTTGCCTTCCTTTTTCAACAAATAGAAATTTACTGAAACAAATCATAATGACGTCATAAACGTTCGTCGGTTCTTAAACCAGAAGTCATTCATTTTAATTTGTCAAAAAAATTGAATGTGTCATATGAATCAATATAGGATAACCCTTTTTTTTAAGTTTCGAGGTCAAGTATGAGCCCTGGTGAAACGATCTGTACTAAATTGACTCTGACTTTCGTGGAATTTGGTACTTATACTTGCACAGGCGTCGGACTACAGGGGCGATAAATAGGAGAAGGAGTATTGAGGGAACTTATGTTACTTTTGTAAATGACATGCAGCAGTTGGATGAAGACCAATTTTTCAAATACACACCAATGAATGAACGAGAACCAGTTCAAATTTCTGCTAAAATTCATTTCCCTTCCCAAAGAAAATTCGCTACATGCATAAAAGTTAAAAGTTAGGAATTTTGGGGTTATTAATTGGGTTTACACTTAACTTCTATGACCTATGCGCTAAAATTAGGCTTAGTCAATAATTTATGCTGATTAGAAAAATTCATACTTTTTGCGATTACCTAAAGTTGAAAAATTCCCAGATTTTCAAATAAATTAAACTTTAATAACTTTTTGTTTTCCGGCTAATATTATTGAAAATTCTTTCATTATAAGTAACTTTTGATTCTCCACAAAAAAGTTCTCTTTAGTTTTTTTCATATAATGCATACTTTACGAAATATTCAATAAATTAGGAAAAAATCAAGATGGCGGCCATTTTTCCCAAAGCTCCACAAATGCGACAAAGTGCCACTTTTGGGGAATCAATTAGGACCCTATTGACTACTCATTTCCGCAGAGATCACTTTGTGACTAATTTTTTCTATACCTCACCTGTATAAACCTGCCTAGATTGACTGCACTATTGTGAGAGCCAGAGAACCTATATTTTAATTTTTATAGGTATTGAGCTGATTCCATTTGAGGAAAACCACCTAATTAAAATATTATTTCTTCAAATCTTAACTTTTCAAAAAAACGTTTACTGAATAAAAATAAATGTTGCAACCATGTAATACGCCGTCAAGTAGGGACGAACCTAGAGGCACCACAAAAAAAGCGTACGAAGGGGAGATAGAGAATACGCAACTAGACTACAGAAGAAGCTGGGCTGGTCCTTTAGACGCGTGTCTTATTCAATTTTCATTTCTATTTTGCATTGAAATTGATTGTTCAATCCAATTTGTTATTAATGTGTATGTAAGGAGCGTTCACAGATTAGTGGATTAAATGTTATTTTGTTTTTGAGAGTTCAATTTATGACAGTTCCTATTATTTTGTTCATTTTTATGTATTTTTTATTTGTTTATAACATTTTTTATAACATGTGCATTGTTCATGTATTTAACAAAAATCGTTTCATACTGTAAACAACACAGATAAAGAAGTAAATTAGAACCTAAGAAATTATGTGTTGTCTTTTTGTGCTGAGATTTTGATTTTGTGAAAGACCAAAGACGGTACCTAATTTAAACTTTTATTGACTTAAATTATTGAATTAATGACTCACAATTATTATTAAATTGACACAGTATGTTTCGATTTTTAAGGAATGTTATGACCGAGGGTTTCTCTGCCGTTCTCTTTCCCCTTGTTAGTTCCAGGATGAGAACGGTACGATTTACTTTAATAATAAAGTAGACAAATTTTTCATTTCTTTTACATATCACAACTTCCCTTAAATTTCCCAAATATTTGCTATATGTCGGGCGCATGTCCAGTAAGTAAAATTGAGTAAGTTTCCACAACGTAGGTCCTATTTGTTTTTCATTTCATTTTTTCAATCTTACTGAACGAACCCAGGTATGTTATACCTACTACACATTCAAACTTTATCGTTCAAAATGAATCAACCGAAAATCCCTTTAGAAATTGAAACCAGCTTAAAAAGTGTGGATATCAAAACAAATCAACTTATACGGACGCAAAAACGAATCTAATGAAGCAAAACACTTTAAAGTGCACATCAATGTATCTAATTTCTTGATACGATCCTGAACTTTGAAGATCAGGAGTTTATCAAATTTTTCTTCAGACATTCTTGAAAGATTTCTGTATCCTGCTTATCCACTAATGCCAATTTCTTTAGCAAACCTTCTGAGGCTTCCAATTGATATTTCTTGACCAATCCAAAAACTATACTGGAGAACTTCTCATAAAAAGTCACCCATGTAAGATAAAAAGACCACAGAAGAAACTCAGAACTCAGAAGTTACATAATAATTATAAATTCTGGACACAGATCAAGAAGCAAATCACATATAAGATATGGATCGATGAAACCGCAGGATTATACTGGAATTAAAGACGAGAAGAATCAGAAGAGATGGATGATAACAGATTCAAGAAGTAGAATTACATTTCATTATCGACACGAGTAAGCTTGGATGAATACATTGTATATAATTTACTAAAAAAAATATAATTTATAAAAATATAATTTAAGCATAATGTTCGTATCCTAATGGAATATGTGCATGCTTATTATCCAATTTTCAAATTTTGGCCATTTATTTCTCCATTTTAACATGCATCAAACGATAAGAAATTAGTATATACCTGATACAAAAATTTTCAGCTCAAATTATCACAGTTTCCTTCGACAGTGTTTAGGAAACCAACCAACTAATATGGTAGTCTTTGGTACTTTGTTTTTGACTGTTCTTCTTGCCGTTGCCCAATTAGGTAACAACTTCTAGTGTAGATATTCCTATTTCTCTATTTTCCATTGAAATATTTAAGTTGGTTAATTTACTTATAAAGTTTTTGGTTTTCAAATTCAGCTTAAAACTTTAGCTTTGGTTCTCAACCCAAAGTGATGGAATTTGAATAATAATTTCAAAAATTTTGGCTTCTAGGGAATGGAGCAACCTTGAATAGGGTTTCATCAGACACGGCAGAACATCTCAACGCAGCTGGTGGTAAGGAATAAATAACTTTATTTACAAAAATGAATTTGAAAATAAAATATTTTTTGTAGCGGCCGCAGTTCAAAATGAACAGAACACCCAAACTATTACCAAGGTAGAAACCACTGAGACCAAAAATACAGGTGAATAGGAAAATGTTTTTAAGGCTTAATCTATTTGTATAAATTTGTTATTAGGTATTGTTGCTGGTGCACTTGAACAATCATCTCACACTAGTCAAGATGCAGAAATAGACTCAGATTCAGGTATGTCAATTTATAATTAACTTAAGTTTCAAAGTTTTAGATTCTAAGCTCTTTTTTTGTCAACTATCCATGTACAATATTGAAATGTCAGGCTTTGAACTTCTAGAGGAATCTGCTTAAATATTTGTTTAGCCCTGAAGTAACATAAGGAATTCTTCGCCCATCCACATAAGTGACTTGCCTTGTCTTTCGTTTTACAGCCAAACAAGTTCATCAACAAATGGCTGAGGTTATTAGACTATTATAGAGGGTTGATCGATATCGAATACTTTTTCAATAAATTTTTAGTTAGTTATGTTTGTAAATTTTATTGTGTATTAGATTAAGTTATTATATTATGTTAAAACTCTCTTTATTACATAATTTGCAGATGAGCAAGATGTTGCGTATAACGTTTTTGTTCCCCCTAGGAATAATGACGATAACACACAGGATTTTTGGAGGCAAATTGTTGACCTCGGCTCAAACCACGAAAATCTAAACAGAGGTAATAACTAATTAAGCACTAACTAAAAAAAATACCAAATATTCCGTTGCCAGAGTAGGTAATCGAGAACCCACTGACATTTACTATTTCAACTTTTATTTTCCAGAAAGCGACGACTTATTATTTAACCAGATCGTAGGACTTGCGCAATCCAGATACGGAGTAACATCAGGTAAAATCCATTCTATGATATAAATTTCAATCTCTGATTCGGATTTGTTTTTAAAAGGACATTTAGGCCTTTTGAAAGACATAATCCATGCAACATACGTCGTCATGAGAAATTTCGTATCCAACATTTTCGGCAGTAATGGTCTCTTCGAACAATACGTTAGAGAAACGCACAGACTCGTATCAAGATTTTGGTCAGCTGTTTTGGGAAATCCTGGCCTATTAACTGGATTCATTCATAGTACTCGTTGGGTATGGCTTCAACTGTTAACATCAGTTTTGGGTTAGTACCTAATTAGCATATAACAGTTTATCTACTAAAATGAGGAAAGAATCATATTTATATTTTCTCAATTTTTTAGGTGGTTCTGGTCTGTTGAACTACGCAGTAGACCGTACCTACAGAGTAGAAGCCGATCACGTAAAATCCGTATATGGACCATACAAACAATGGCCATCAGGGCACTTTGACCAGCACTCCAACGGCTGGTTGCATGGAGTCGACAGGTATCCACGTAGAGTAGACTATTCAACAGACTTATACGACGTGGACCATTCCCACCTGAATTCCTACGGAGACCAACCGAATACCCACGGAGAAAACCTGAATACCCACGGAGACAACCTGAATACCCACGGAGACAACCTGAATACCCACGGAGAAATCCTGAATACCCACGGAGACAACCTGAATACGCACGGAGACAGCCTGAATACCCACGGAGACAACCTGAATACCCACGGAGACAACCTGAATACCCACGCAGACAACCTGAATACCCACGGACACCACCTGAATTCCTACGGAAACCATCCGAATTCCCACAGCGACTACCTGGTTGCACAGTCTGGCGACCAATCGCTCAACTTAGAACAAAATAGAAATAGATGGTCAGAGAATAAGCAAGAAAATTCCGCATCTGGTACTTTTTCGGTTCATAACGAGAAAGAATCATCTGAAGGTGAGTCAGCTTCATCATCGCTGTATAAGGAAGCCGCTTCTGAGATAGAATTACTCTTGAAAACATAATATATTACAATGATATTTGAGAAATAATAAATAATAGACTAGATGAGCATTAAATAGCCGTTGTCTGATTTTTCGAAGCGTATTGATTTGTTTGCTGGATTATTTCAATAAAAATCTTCACACTTTTATGGAATACAGCTATACAATTTTAAATTTAAATTAACCGAAAGAGTCACGTTGAAAATATAGGCTAACAAATTATTTTCTAAGTTGTTCCAACTCAGAATTTTAATTTTCGTTAGAGCACACCTGTTGCTACGTCGCCGGAATTTATTGGTAGGCGTTCAAACTTGGCAAGGGGAAAATAAAGGAACGAGCTCTACATGAAGTGAATTTGAAAATGAATTTTTGTGTTCAACAAGTCTTGAGGGTTAAATTTATGACGCATGTTTTTGTTTTGCAAATAATTTATAACGAAAAATGTCCCTATACATAAATCATATCAAACTGTCCAATAATAATTTGATGAATAATCAAACGGACTGATAAATTATTCAATAATTAAATGACAGTCCTCCAGAGAGTGAGTTGTTATATATCTTTTCGACCGTGTATAAATCGTATCGGACAAATCAAATTATTATTGTGTATGTACTTTTAGGATAAAAATGCTGAAAAATAGACCATTTTTGATTTGCAAATAAAGTAGTAATTTTGTACAGGGGTGTCCGGAAATTATTAAGTGTTTGAATTTAGTTCAATCAAATTTTCCCAACAGAATTCAGAAAACTATTTCAATTTATTTAAGATTTTCTAAGAAACAGCTAAAACCGATCTTTTGCTACTCAGCAAACACAGCCACATAAAGTTGAGGTGGAAATGTATGTAACTACCTACTCTAACTACTTACATAATATCTAATAATTTTCAAATTGAAATAAGATAACATTTAACCTAAATGTAACGCATAATGTTATGCTCAAGTATATGTAAAATTTATTTCACATTGATGTAAACCATAGGTAGGGCTGCCATTCGTCCGGATTTCCCCGGATTTGTCCTAGTTTTTAAGGCTTCCGGGGACGTCCGGGGGGATTTTTTGTAGTTATCCGTGTTTTACGGTTTACGGCATCTTGACAAAAATCACGAATAACGAAAACGCGGAATTGACAAGAATTTTTTAGCGATGACGTATATGTAGCTATAGCGTATTCGTAACTTCTTGACATATCAGTTTTATAACGCCCGCGCATGCGCGACCTGAGTTCACGTATCGTAAGTTATGTTTGGAGCTCGGTAAGTGTGAGTCCTGTTATCCTATCATGTTATTACTTACCAAAGAACTGGCTGTTATTTATTCACGTTTTGTTTAGTTTTATCGTTGTTAAAAAAAAATTGTTATTCAGTGATCGAGAACCATATTAATATTAAAATTAAAACTACAAAAAACCCCAAAAAATAATTTACAGGGTGTCCCAGCCGAAAGTGAACCATTTTAAATGGTTATAACTTTTAAATTAGGTGTGCTAGCTACCTGCGGTTTGCGCCATTCGATTTCTTTTGGTCTAAAGTTTTTTCTAGTAGGTTTCAAATTTTTTTAAAACTTATACAGGGCAAGTGAAAAAAAATCAGTTTTTCAACATCAAAATTCTCCACTATTTTTAATGGAACACCCTGTATATCACAACGTCAAAAAAAATATTAATATTCAAGGTATCGATGTACCAATAGACATCGTCCCTAAAACTTGAAGTTTTAGAGGTAAAAAATCAAAATCGAAATCTTGGAATTTTTGCAAACGCATGCAACTTCATGTTGTAGGTACTTGATATCATTATGATAAAGAATTTTGTAACTGTCCAGTTAGATATCAATTAAGTTAAAATACAATTTCCAAGAAAATTTAACGAGTTCCAGAGTATTTTCTCTGGAACTCGTCAAATAGAGATACCCCAAAAGTAACAGTTTGGTGTGCAATCTCTATTAAGAAAAAATACAGACCATTTCCATTAATGAACCAACGATAACAGAAATTGTATACACTGATATGTTCTTTTTTCCACAGTTAAGACAGGAGGGTATCTTGGATGATATCTATTTCCAGCAGGATGGTGCCCCCACCTCATTATTCTTTAATAGCAAGGAAATCACTAGATATGACATTTGGGGAAAGACGGATATGGAGGTTCTATAGAATGGACACCTTACTCTCCTGTCTTGAGAGTTCCAGACTTTTTTCTCTGGAGTTATGACAAGGAAAGATGTTGTAATCCTTTGCTCAAATAGCCTGAAAGATCTTAAGCGGAACATTTGTAATGTCATTGAAGCGATTCCCCAGGAAATGTTACACAAGTCATTCACCCATTTATTGATCCATAAATGTCTGGAACAGAATGGCTAATACATATACAGCATTTTGTATAGTTTTATGCAGTTTTTCTTAACTTTTTATTGGGCGAACATAAGTTCCAAGCTTTATAAATATCTATGCGTTTGCAAAATACCAAGATTTCGATTTTGATTTTTCACGGCTAAAAGTTCAAGTTTTAGGGACTATGTTTATTCGTACATGGATACCTTGAACATTATTCTTTTTTTTGACGTTGTGATATACCATCCCATTGAAAATAGTGGAGAATTTCAATGTTGAAAACCGGATTTTTTTTTACTAGCCCTGTATAAGTTTCAAAAAAATTTGCAACCTACTAGAAAAAACTTTAGACCCAGAGAAATCGAATGGCGCAAACCGCAGGTAGCTAGCACACCTTGTTCAAAAGTTATACCCATTTAAAATGGTTCACTTTCGGCTGGGACACCCTGTATTTTCAAAATAAACGTTTTTGGGCGTGGCACCCAAAAAAAATATCCGCCTCCGGCGTGTTCCCCTCCAGTAGTGTCCGGGTTTGAGAGGTTAGAATCCGGGGTTTTTGTAGGAATTGTCCTAGGTAACAAATTTCATAAATGGCAGCCCTAACCATAGGTATATAAAACCATATTATTATATAGAAACTATAGATATATAGAAAAATTGAATCATTTATCTCAAATAGTTTTTGATATGTTAAACCTCAAAGTTGAAACTTTGTCTCAAATTTTGGGAAATGTTTGTAAATTCCTGTGGGTGGCTGGGCAGCTCTAATTATATTTAATAGAATGTTTGTCGCATCTCTGTTTCTCTTGTCTTGGAGCCGTTATTCTGTCGTCCTTTGTAGAACCTGAATAACATTATAAGTGTGATAACAACAATAATTATAATTACTAATGTAGCACTGAGGCTCGTGGCTAGAAGAGTTAAGATGTTCTTCTTAGTTTTAATGAGGCAATTTGAAGCTTTTTCTGTTTGATTCAGTGCCACATCGTCCCAGGTTCCATCGCAAATAATGGCAGTTTTTGTTTCATCCAAGAAATTCTTGATTTGTAGACTGCGGCTCCATATGCCTTTTCGGAGGCATCACAAAAGCTAGGTATGTAGTTCCACGTGCTTGTTTTTTACTTGGTAGGTCCACCTGGATATAGTTATTTTCTCGACACTCTTTAGTTCTGTTCAGAAAATTTCTCATTTGCTCTTAACGAAGAGTGGCACAGGATCATCCCATTTAAGCTCTTGCGGCAATAATTCTTGGATAAGGAGCTTCACCCTGATAATTATTGGAGCTAACCATCCTAGTGAGTCGAATAACATAGCAACCTCTGAAAAAATGCTCCTTTTAGTAATGTTATCATCACTAGTCGATATTTCAGTTTTGAATCTAAATGTTTCATTATACGGAGCCCAGTGGATACCTAGAGACTTTCTTATGTCATCTTCAGTTATTTCCACGGCTGATTGATCTTTAAGTTCATTTGGAAGTTTCTCTAGTTTGTTGCTGGACCATTCCCGCAACGTGAACCCTCCTCGTTGAAACATTTTGATGAGTTCGTCTTGTAATGATAGAGCTTCTTCTATAGTGTCAGCACCTGGGAGCAAGTCGTCGACATAAAGATCTTTCATTGCTGCTTTGGATGCATTTTGAATACCGGTTGATGTGGGATAATATATTGGATGCTGTAGTTCTGTATTTGGAAACATTTTCATGTGACCAAGGTTTGGATATTCTTGTTACTGCTCATTCTTTTCTCTAACTGAACCAGTCGTGCGGCGTCTCGTGATCTAGGCACTGCTAATAGACTCTCTTTTATATTGGATGGAATTCTAACTGTGTATGTTCCATCTGTATTTCTTGTAGTGGTGGCTCCGTAATGTTGTTCGCAATATTGATCATCTTCTGATAACGGATACATTTGTGAGACCTCTTCAACTTCCCAAAATTTAATTAATTGTCTTTCTTCTCCAATGCATATTATCATGCTAACAACTTTTAGTTTGTTTCCCGAATTTTTTGGTAGGTTTCCGGAAAGAATCCATCTAATTCTGTTTGTTGACCAAGGAGACCATCTTCAGTTTTTCGTATGCCTTCCAAGATTAACTGGGCATATTCTCGGGCCCCGAGACGAAGATATATCTACTGGACCAGGTTTATAGAATGTTGGATCAGCAATGACGTCGTTCTTCCATTAAAATATTATGTCTATGTCAAGGACTACTCCAGGACGAGCTCGTGTTAGTTTAGGTAGAACGATTCCGAGAACATCAAGCTGGAAGTTCCTGGAAAATCTCGGCTTAATTAGTAGCTGTAACTGGGATTTTGACACTTGTGGTTCTCCTGCGCCAAGCCCTGTGATTTTTGCTTGAATTTTCTGTCTGAGCAGGGTGAGTAGACTTGCAGCCCCTCCGGTTGGGAACCAGGGTCAATGAGAACTCTCAAATTTTCATAACTTTCATAAGCATTTCTAACTGTTGCCAGGAATACCATCTCATCTTGTCGGCTAATATGGCTTGTTATTGTTTCGGTCCTTTGATCATTTCTAGACGCTGATATTCTGGACTGTTGTGGTCTAAACGAATCGACGTGTAAGTATGTATGATGCTGGTTGTTGCAAATACGGCATTTCATTGACGAATTGCATTTGGATTTGTAGTCATGGCTCAAGCAGTTTAAACATAGTTTTTTTCCTCTGGCAGCTTTTAGCTGAAGTTCTGATGATACGGCTTCAAATTTTGGGCATTGGTAAATCATGTGGGCTTCATTGCAGTACTTGCAAGCATCAGTTCTTCTGGCTTAGTCATTATTATTTGAATGGGGGCAAATTTTCTTCTGTGTGACTGAAATTGCTTTCAATGATTGGAATCTTGCTTGAAGAAATTTCCTTATTTCAATAAGGTCCTGTATTTCACGGGGCTTGCTTAGCGATTGTTCATAAAGCTTGCTGGTTCCAAAAAGGAGGAAATATTATATATCAACTGCAAAAATGAGACAGGAAACTTCATGGTGCCCTGATTAAGGGTAGAAGGAGCAATGAAAGTTTCCGTCTCATCTAAAACCCAAAAATTAATTTGTGTATTGTGTACATCTGACACCGTAAAAAGAAGCGCCTCCACTTGCAATGCAAGTTAGCCAGAATTAAAAGATCAAAATAATAAATGAGCGTTTATTAACTTTTATCAGTCTTCTTCTTTTCTACATTCAGCCCAGTCCTGGACTTCTCCAGATCCACAAATCACATAGAAAAATGCTCCAAGCAAATAAATACCGGCAGCTACAAAGAAAACAATACGCCATTCGTATATAGTCTGAAATATTTTTTTTTAGAAATCAAAATTATGATAGGAGCATACTTACTGGATTATCTGATACAATATAGCCAGCGAAAATGGGACTTGCTATTCCAGGTATAGTTCCAAACGTATTGCTCACCCCCAAAATGATACTAGCATACTGCGGAGCAATATCTAAAGGGTTCACACTAGAAAAACAATTAATTACTATTTAATATTGGGACATATTTCCCAAACTCTTACCAATAAGCTCCAAATGCAACAGCCCCGATTCCAATAGCACAAGTCAAACATAAAACGGTAACAACTTCGCTGGAAACATAGGCGACAGTCATTAAAAAGCAAAACTGAGCCACAAAGCCTAAAAATGAAGCACTTTTCCTAGTTTGAGTCACTGTTAGATAACCTTTGGATATCAGGAAGTCTGCTAATTGGCCTGATACCGGTAACACTATGCCCATGGCTAAATAAGGCAAGCCAGACAGGAAGCCGGAAGTACCCAAGTTGAAATTGTAAATGTCTTTCAAATATTTCGGCAGCTGAGTAAGGAATGTGTAAAAACCCCAATTTTCTGCAAAGTTCGATACACAAATCGCCCAAATTGCTTTCGTACACGCCATAGATTTCCACGGAATTGGTGTCTTATGAGGCTCGTCGTCATTTGGAATTTTTTCCAAGGAGGACTCGATGTAGTTTAGCTCAAGTTCGGTTATTTTTGAATCTTGATTTGGCGAGTTTGTCACTACCAGCATCCATAGAATATACCATAATAATGCGAGAGCACCTAGAAAAAAAAAGTAAGAATAGTTGTTGATTTGTTGCCTGGATTATCCAAACAACAATTAATAGTTGTCAGTTGAGGGTACGATCTATTACAAACATTTACCAAAAAAGAAAAAAATGCTTCTCCATCCAAACCTTTCCGCTAGTAAAGCGCTCAAAGGCATCGCTACCACGGTACCAAAATAGCTACCAGCCGAAGCTAACATCGACAATCCAGTTCTTTCCAATGGCGGTGCCCATTCTGACCAAATCGCATGCAAACTTGGATAAGTTACACCCTAAAAATAGTCAAAGATTACTCAATTATCATATTTTGAATTGAATTCACCTCAAAAATTCCTTCAATAATCCTAACAGCAATAAGTGAGTAGGCATTGGCAGTGACCACCCAAGGAGTAATAAAAGTTAAGGCTCCTGTAACAGCGATTCCAGTGCCAAAAATCACTTTACCGCCATACTTGTTGGCAAAATAACCTCCTAGTAACTGAGTTGTGATGTAACCGTAAAAAAAAGAGCTTAAAATATAACCTTGGATTTCGTTGTTCCAACTGAATTCTGGTCCCTAAAAAAAAATCTGGAATTTAAGATAAATCTGTTTGAACAAAACTTTTACCATGTTTATCACAGTTCCATTGTCAGAAGTTTCAAATCTGTCTGACGTCATAGAGACTATAGCTATACTTAAGTTTACTCTTAAAGCGTACACATTGAAAAACCCTAAAAAAGCCATAAGGGCTACTATGTAACGTCGATGCTTCCAGATAAGCCATTTTGAGGGAAGATTCTTACTAGAAAATATTTAAAAATTAAAAGTAGTTGTAGTACATAATTGTAATAAGTTTCAAAAGTTGTACTTACTGTAAAGAATCGGCCTCACTTGTTGCTATTTCTCCATTCATATTTTCATTAAACTATATTTAAAATCACAGAATTTGACTTAAAAAAAAAGTATTTTATAGCCGAGATTACCCACATAAAAGTGCTTATTACACTTCAATAATGCGAAATATACATTTTATACTAGGTCCATTAAAAAATTATCAACGTGTTGTTAAATGATTGAAAACAACTGGAGCCAACAAACTCACAATTAAAATTATCCAAACTAGTTTGTGTAAAAACAAAATTAAAGAAAGTTGATTCTTGATCAAGCTGTACCTAAAGCTGCAGGTCATTAATTAAGGCCACTTCAAAATATATGCGGCATCCGTTGATTAAAATGCAAGATCCAAGTATTTTTCTTTGAGAAAATTGAAAACACAATTTGCATTGATTCTGAATTTCAAATTATGCTAAAAAATTCAAAAGCAAAAAAAGTTTAAAGACAAATTAGATTTTTGAGCGGTAATAAAAACTATCCATTTGCTTTGACGTACCATGAAAATTATTGCATAGGTATGCCTAGAGAAGACTAAAAAAAACAAACTTTTATGATAGAAAATAATTTTAAAACAATTATATAGGTTTTGATTCAAAATCTTTATATTTGTCAAAAATCATATAGGGCATTTAAATAATGCTAAGATTCTATATGCTTACTTTTTTTCTGGTGCACCACATCACTTGTCGCTTTTATTAATGATGCATATCACGTAGTTCGGCGGTTTAATACTAATTAGTATTCATCTTATCTTAATATTAATCTCAACGATTTTACTTGAAACTGCTTGCCCAATTATTTGCGAAATTAATTCCATCATCCACCCACACTTCTTGTTTCCACGAAAACTTCCCGCATTATTGCCTACCAGGCATATTTTATCAATGTTGAATTAAAGAGAGCCGATATTTATTATTATCAAATACATGATCTATTTCAAATTGAGCAATTAAGCTGTTTTTCTTAATTCAAATTCATCTCTACTCTTCCAAATTGATAAATAGATATTTTGGGTGCTGAGAAGTTACATCCAGACGAGAAAGTTCTTATCCGAGGAAGTGAGATTTTAGTCAGTAAACCTTTCACTAACCTTTACCGGTGTGTGGCCTGTCATAATACCTGTAATAGTTCTTAGTCGGCTCCTACTCATTTGTAGCAGTTCTGCGGCCCTTTTTCTGGATGGTTGGTCGATGAACTCTCTACCATAATTCTGCCTGGAAATTGTCCAGTAATGTCGATGTTCTTTACGAACCGAGTCTTTGATGTAGCTTCTGGTCATCTTTTTTGGTATCCCTCAACGATGTAGCTATAGCTATAGCTATAGCTATAGGGGGGGGGGGGGGGGGTTTTAGAGCAGTGGCGACTCGTGGTCTGGGAAGGGTTTCAATTTGCCACCTTTGAAAATAAGTTGAACCGGAGAAAAAAAAAAAGTTCATTGAAAGAAAAATGAGAAACAAAAATCCTACAAATCTGATAACAGATGCATTACACTTTACTATATATCTATACACAGGTCCCCTCCGGCATCTCCGGATGTTGCTTGATGTTGGGTTAGTTTGAATTAGTTGAGTTAGTTGAGACGGTTGGAGAGGGAGATCCAAGGATACTACACACTACACAGGATAGCCTATCCTCATAAGGCCCGTGTAGATCAAATCTCAAGCCCCCACTGCACCACGCCAAAGTACCAGTTATGACGTAGGAATCGGGTCGATTCTCGTTTCGACGTATGGTGTTTGCACCACAGGCTATCATTCCCCTGGCTTTTGCTTTATGAATACTTGTGTTAGTACATTAATTAACATTCTAAAAGAACCCTTTTCAGATCTCGTCTGCATCTTTCTCGTTGCCTATTATGTTAATCAAAATTAAATAATATTTTTCATCATAAATGTATATTCTAAACTACGACCGCTGGTGCAAACAGTTAACAACACCGTTGATGATGTCACCAACGGTGCAACACCATATGACCTTGATTCCAAAAATCAAGGCCGATGAGCAATCCTGTAGTAGTGTATATTATCCTTGAGGGAGACCGTAGGTAACGACGACGCGTGCGTTCCGGAGAATTTTTCCGGGAGAAACAGGATTGCGCTGTTGCTAACCCGGAAAAAACACCTAGTAATCCGTAGCCCGGATACCATATGCGAAAACCCGTAGACTCCGGGTGAAACCCGGAGAGGTGACAACCCTACAGTGGCATAGTCGAAGGCGAAAAATTTTTTGGGATTCCACGCTTAAAAACGTTTATTTTTCTTAAAAAAAAAAAATTTATTCAGTTCAATGGGGGGGGTTTGAACCCCCAAACCCCCCCCCCCCCACCCCTTATATACGTCCTTGGACTATCCCTAAAGCCGACTACGGCTCTCCTGATGTTGTTCTCCGCTGCGCACTGGACTATAGCATAAACCTCTGCCTGAAAAACAGAGACATGCTCCCCCACTACGTAGTGATTACTGTAGCTGGCGCAGTACCTATACCCTATACCCCTGCCCCGGTACCCAGGCGCAGTCTTCGACCCGTCCGTATATCAGGTCCGGTCCTGCTTTTTGGTTTCTAGTATGCCCTGTTCCCATTCAGTTCTGCTTGGGAAGCTGACGTCGAACGGTCTGTTGAGGCAGGGGCGCCTTGGCATGTGGTCTGTCTTCATATTGAAAATATCTCCCCCACAAGTTCTACGATTGCCATGTGTCCCGTCTTTTTGTTGTATGTGGTTGTCGGTTGCAGTCTGCATGCTCCTATCCTTGCCTCCCTCTGTATTATAACGTAAATATTTCTCCATGGCTGCTGTTAGTGTGAACCGCATTGCTCTAAGCAGACCAGTCTTTGCACTTTGCTAAGTTGGCGGATGGCACTTTCCTGTTGTGTGCTTAGCCATCACACCAGGGAGGCGTATGTCAACATGGCTCTGACCATCATGGTGTATTTGCAGTACAGTATGTTCCGTCTCAAGCCCCATAATTTTCCATACAGGCATCTAGCTATCATGAGCGATACTATCGCTTTTTCGGTGGTGTTTTCCAGATGCTGATTCCTGGTAAGTTTTGAGTCCAATGTCATCCCCAGGTACTTGATCTTGCTCAAAATCTGTATGTTTTTCCTCTTTTATCTAAGGTGGTCCCAGGTCTTGTATTTTGCGCCTTTGGATAAATGCCACAATGGTGAATTTGTTGGGATCCTAGTTCTCTATCTACCCATCTTGTTGTTCGGTCTAGAGCGTCTTCAAATTCAATTTATTGATCAGTACAGAAAAAGTATAGGGCAGCCACAATAGGATTGATCACAAATCTTAACTAATGCTACACGAATATGAATAATAATCAATACAAATACAATGACAGCCCAGCAGGAATACTAAGGTTACATGAAATGTTACAGTTACCATTAGTTTTTTTTTGTAAATCTAAACAAAAAAATAAGTGGTTCCAGCGTAATATTAAAATATAAAATATACTCTGTATTTACGACAGTACTTAGTTAATAAAATAAAATAAATTCAAACAGCAAAACTATCAGTTCATATCCAATACAGGATAAGACCACAAATGTTAAAAATATTCAAGTCAAACTTGCAGGTACAAACATCGAAGTATAAGTAGCTTTGTAGCTTTGGCACTGAATTCTGTGAATATTCATCGAAAGAAAAATTAGCAGAGGTAATCAACACATCCCTTATGCTTTTCTTGGATTGCCCAATAGTAAGTTCTACCTAAATGGAAAACTGACCTAGTAATTTTCATATGAGACTGGGGTAAACTTAAACTATATCTATTTCAAGTGTCATAGAAGGACTTCAAAGACTATTACCAAAATCAGAAGAATTAATTTAGAAAGAAGAACCATAGTTAAATATCTTAGGGTAATCATGGACTCAAAATTAACTTGAAACAAACATCTGGACTAAGTAATTAAAAGGTCAGAACTGGTACTTATATTAGCCAGGAAAACTTTTGGAAAAACCTGGGGGCTGCGGCCGGACATGATGCACTGGCTATACACAACAGTTGTAAAGCAAGCGTTGTGAATGCTATGCTATGAGTCTTTGATATGGTGGACAAAGACAACAAGAAAGAGCCAGAATGAGACTTGACAGGGTGCAAAGACTTACCTGTCTGGGCATTACAGGGTGCATGGAACCACACCAACAGCAGCTATGGAAGTCCTACTAGACCTACCTCCGCTACACATTGTGATTCAGGCAAAAGCCAGGATGGGCCTCCACAGACAACGAAACAACCTGAGCAAACTAACAGTCAGATCAGGCCGCACACACAATAAGGGAAGTCATAAATCTGGCAGTATTCGACATGATAACTGACTATGCACTTTCCAAATACTCACCCGACATATCCTTCCAAGCCTTAATTAGTGAAAAGAAGGAATGAGAAAACCAACTTGCACTCTCCAATCTCAAAGGCGAGACCTGGTACTCGGACCGGTCAAAGACTGAGAATGGCAGTACAGGCGCAGGAATCTATAGTCAAGAAGGAAGATGCCTTCTTCTCTCTAGGGTCACATACATCTGTTTTCCAGGCAGAGGTATATGCAATACTACGATTCGCAAGAATCAACAATATGAGGAGCTGCAAAGACAGGAGACTCACTTTACTCATAGACAGACAGGCAGCACTGGGGACATTGAAGAACCCTAAGGCAAACTCTGCACTGGTAATAGAATGTCGAGAAGAACTCAACAACTTGGCGGACCAAAATAACGTCACATTGATGTGGGTGCCAGGACATAGAGGCATCCCGGGCAATGGAAAGACTGACGAGCTTGCACGTAGGGATCATCCACAGAATACCTTGGTCCCGAACCAGCTCTCGGAGTGCCCAAAAGCAAAGTAAGAATGGAGCTGAAGGAATGGATCAAAGCAAAACATGCTGAATACTGGAAGCAAATACCCAAGCCTGCACATGGAAAAATCTTCATACGTGAAACATGCAGCAAACGAGCAAAAAGACTGCTACAACTAAGCAGGAATCAACTCAGAGTAGCAACCGGCTTTCTTACTG